AGGGTGCACCACGTGGAGGTAAGTCTATCGCACGCCCCTGTTTAAAATATAATGGTTGGTGCTTCAATTTTTGGTATGTTAAATGTGTTAAGTAACCTTTTCGAGTGTTGAACAATTCAGTTTGGTGAAAAAAAGGCATAAGGAAACGCTGAAAACCAATCTATGATTATTAATATTAATTTTGTCTTTTTTGCCATTCACAGAATCAAACTTTGCTTACTTTCCGCTAGATTTTTGGCCAAATCTAATCTAGCCACTTCTCTTATTTGACTAATTTTAAAGAGTTATTTCAAAATATTTATTTATTTCAAATGGCAGGCGTTTTGATAGTCATCATTAGCCATTTAGCTGACTTCAGGCTTCACAATGAGGAGAATGTCAAAGTGACAAAAAAGTGGAGTGGGGGGGGGTGGGGAGTCAGAATAATGATTCACAGATGTAAGAGACTGACAGATAGACACAATGGCCGAGAAAAGGTGGAAAGAGATAGTCAGCTTTGAGGATTCAACCGCGTAAAAGGTGCAAAATTCACATCCGTAATTGCTATCTCTCTCTCCTCCACAGACGGACATCTTTGGAAACGTTGTAGTCGATCGGAGACAACTCCTTCGGTCCATTAGGTGGTGATTAGATTGGGATGTGAGGTTTCCCAGCCGAAGCTTCGCATTGTTATGCACAAAATTTAAAATAAAAATTGGAGGGTACTTCAATTCTATTTTCAAAATCTACAACATTTTAATTTGCTCCAAATTTAACAACTAGTTTCACTTTTCTAAATAAATTAATGTTTTTAATGACAACTGCAACCTTGGTAATTTGATTGCAAAGTAGGCTTATTAATTCAAAATCAAATAGTTGAAATTAAAATTGGAAAGCGCTTTTGAATTAATTCACATTTAGAGATCAAGGTGGAAAATTTTAGTTCCGTGTCACGTGCATTGGAATCTATTTATTTCAATTATTTATTTATAACAAATGCCAGGGTTTATAATAATTATCATTAGCCCATTAGTTGCCTTTGGGCTTCACAGGGGGGAGTAACATCAAAATCATAAAAAAATCGAAGGTGGGGGGGGGGGGGGGGGGGAAGAGGAGTGATTCTGAGATGTTAAAGGGACGGACAGGCACCAAAGTGGAGAAAAGGTAAGGTGAGGTGAGTATCGTGAAGTGGTCGAATTTGACATAGAGTGGGGTAACGGTAGATCGAAGTCAGAAGTCAACTGCCGGTTTATAGACTTTTTTGCCGTATGAGTATACTTGCCCAGGGTGCACCACGTGGAGGTAAGTCTATCGCGCACCCCTTGTTCAAATATTGGTTGGTCCGCATTCTTATCGTAAGATGTTTTCCCTTTTTGTCGTGTTGCTGAATTGAATGTCAGTACCGGAGGTCTTATCATGACAAAATCACATTTTTTGCCATTTTTCAAACGATCCTTCTGAATACTTCCTGTCTAAAATGTCATTAAATCGTTTAATTGCTTTCGAGTTTAAAAAATAATGCAATCTTGCAATAAAGCCTCATTCCTTTTAAGAAATTAAGAAAGTTTCAAGTTTGATTATGGTCCGTGTGAGTGAAGTTTGCTAAGATATTGGAATTGAATACGAGGAATCACTTCCTGTGGCATTGCTAAGACCTCTAACAACTGTGCTCTGGTTGATCGTAATATTGTGCACTACAATATGGAAGGAAAAATAAGTGATTATGCTTTAAGAAAGATTGGTTGGTTTTGAGGACTTCCCTTCACTACGTTTTTAGTTAACTAAAATCTACGTGTGTGGTTATGCAAAGTGCACGTGAATGACATTAAACCATGAGGAGGAATATTGCATTTTTTGGGTCATGGTTTTGTTGGCCATAGAACTTGATTGACTTATCGTCATTTTAATCTCATCTAACTGCATATCTGGATAAAAAGGGAAATGGATTTGGTCTGGATATTTTCACTAGAAGGGGTCACGCTAGACTGGTAGTGAACTTAAAATATATAAAGTTTCCTCTAAATGTATGCGGATTTGAGCAAATCAGTCTTGCAGTTGAGACTGATTGAATGATTGCTTACTTGAAATAATCAATATTTCATAACAAAGGAACGTGAGACGAGCTCTCTTAGAGTGGAATCCTTCTAATTGCCAGGAGCTCTATTGTAGAACCTGTGACTTTGAGTTTGGCATGGGAGTTCTATATCTCTTCTATTGAATTAAACATATTCTTAAGCTATTCACCACCACCTATGCAGCACTCAAAGACCTGATTTCCTTACCGAATATTCATTTTGAATCTTTAATTTGGCCTGATTATTGGCTTTTGCCACTTGGCGATTACCTTCAAGAAGAGATGAGACATTAGTACGGATATTAGGAGTAATTTTACAAATCTGTAATCGGAAAGATAATGGGAGCATAGAGCATAGCATCTGGGTGCTTCCGCAGTCATTAGGTCACTTAAAATCCTTATTCAAATACACCGCTAGATGTGATTGCGTTTCTTTTGCACACCATGCAGATACTATTGAGAGTTTAAAATTTCTCCTACAAATCAAGAAAAAAGGTCAGCTAGTAGTGTATATTTTCGCTTCCTGCATTTTGCAACACAATGTAATCTGTTGAACACTTGACTTGTGTTCATACGACCTTTTCGACAACTGCCTTTTTACTTGCATGCCCCCCCCCCTCCCCTCCCCTCCTTGTTAATGTTCAATCGGTTGCTCCTTTTAGTTCATTTCTTCTCTCATACAAGGCATGGTGTCTGTCGTCAATTAACCATAGTTATTTATTTAATTACTTACACTTCATTCAATTTCTGCTGAACCACTAGGGCCATCCATCCTAAATATTGTTCACATGGATATCCGTATTGGACTATTTGGGTACCGTGTTCCAGATATTTATTTATTTATATCAAATGGTAGGCGTTTTGATAGTTATCATTAGCCCTGGAGCTGACTTCGGGGCTTCACAGAGAGGAGAAGGAACATCAAAGTGACAAAAAGTCGAGAGGGGGGACAGCAGGGTGTTTCACAGATGTAAAAGAGACAGATAGACAGACACAAAGGCATAGAAAAGGTAAGATGAGTACTGTGGAAGGGGCCGAATATGACAAATAGTCGGGCCATAGTAGTTTGAAGTGAGAAGTCAACTGCCGATCAATAGACATTTTTGCCGTATGAGTATACGTTGCCCAGGGTGCACCACGTGGAGGTAAGTCTATCGCACACCCCACGTCCCAGATATAGTAGCAAGCGATACTGCTCAATCCCAGAAAGCAATTTAATTACTCGCAAACTAGTATTGATCGGTATTATTTACCATTATAAATATTTTTTGTAAGATATTGTTATTAATTGACTTGAAAAAGCAAAAGAATCCGATTTATATTGCAGTAAAGCATCTTAACATTGGAAAGACGGGGGGTATTTACGATGGTTCAGAGCATGAGAAACTTCTTGTAATTTTATTTAACTTTCGAATCCATCAGGCTCTTCACTTGTAGCTTATTGGACATAGTCCATACCGATCAGTTGAATAATATTTTTTTTTCTAAAATTTAAATACTCTTTTCTGTCATTTAAGTATTACCTTTATTAATAAGAAGCGCGGAAGTTGAATCATAATGGTTGTGTAATTTTATCTCAACTGGTGCAATTCGAAGAAGTGCCTGCGTATTTTATCTTCACTTCCTATTATTTTTGCAAATTATTATTGGCTGGAGAAATTCTTCCCTTTCCCTCCTAATTAAGAACATTTGACCTGAAGGGAATGACACCCCATGCGTTCCCAAAATTTTTATTTTAGGTCATCACTAATTTCTGGGACTTAAGTGGTGCTTGAAGTATTTCACCTTGCTGTAACCTCAAGAATGTTGCCAGCTTTATAGTGGTACGTAGAGTACTTCATCTTTCAGTGACTCAAAGTTCCTCATAAGGAACCTTCACCCGTCCCTAAGAGCTGAATTATTAATTGGCGAATAATCCATTTTAGTGGTCTTTCAGTATGAGTTGCAAAGTTTTGCTTAAACACAAGCGCGTGCAGACACACTCATCATTAATTAGTTAGCATGGTTCACTTGCACTCGCTCTTTCCTCTGTTCAAATCCCTGTCAGTTGCCCTCCCCCCCCTCCCTCCCTTGTTTTTTAGCTATGACCTTGTCAGCATTCACTATTTTACACAACAATGTGTAGTCATTATTGGCAACAGAAGTTAATGTGGAGACTAAGAGAACATGGTCTGAATGGTTTAGGCAAGTGCCAATCATGTTAAACTATCTAAACTTTAAAACAATCCCTAACGGTATTCAATTTGGGAACGGAGAAAAGTAATCCCAATGGGGGAGGGGGGGGGGGGCGGGAATGAAGTAATGATTTGAACCGAGAGAAGGCAGAACTGTAGCAGAGATGAATGGGTGGACACAAACGCGTTAAATCAAGGATATCAATGCACACAACAATTCATTCATGTCAAAATTTTATACCTAACAGGTATTTTGTTTGTCTAGGTAATACGTCCAGACACCCATCCAGAGGCTTTTGTTCCAGTTCCCCCAGATGGTGGTTGGGGTTGGGTGGTGGTGTTTGCAGCCTTCTTCACCAATCTCATTATCGATGGAATCTACGTCTCATTTGGAATCATGGTCACTGATCTGGTGGATCATTTCAACTCCACCGTCGCTACAGTTATGCTCATGGGATCTCTACTTCTTGGTGTTTATCAGATTGTTGGTGAGTCAGGCGACATTCTGGTACCATTAGTTGCTACATTTTCAACAATTATCTCGATTCTTGTCTCTTTGTTTTCCAAGCAAGACTTTTCGGTCATTTGTTTTGTAAAACATTCGTTTGACAGTGCTATTTTTAACCACCCTTTTTTACAATAAATTCCAGCTTTACACATGGCAATTGCTTAGTTAGATTAAAATGTGTTAAGCATCGTCTAGTCTTCACATCTGCTCGCGTGTTTTATCACGTAGTTAAGAATTTACTGCCGAATTCTTATCCGGGAAACAATTGGATATATAAAAGAGAATATCGATTAAAACGCCAAATGATTGTTAATTGAATATAACTAACGCTACGCTACTCGAGTATTGCTAACTGATTGGGTAAAAGTCAACGAACGTTCATGATCAATTTTATGGAAAAGCTCTAGCATATCACAATCGAAAAAAATAGGGTCCTGTTGATACCTACCCCCAAATTTGATCCCAATACGTATAAATGAATCGAGAACGAAATTTTATCGTATTATATTTCGATTGAGCAAATCAGTTTGAATAATTTCCTCTAATGGTGCCTTCTAAACCGCGGGTTAATCATTGAAACGCAACAATTAATGAAAACCCTAATTTTTATCCCTACTCTTTCGTGTTGTTTTTGATACATTTTGACCATATAATTGCTTCTAAATATCAAAATTGTCCAGAAAAAAATGGAACATGGGGTTAGAAAATGTTTAGATTAAAGCCCCGAGTGGCAGGAGTCCCATTTGGAGACATTTTCCATTATCTCATAAGAAACATAATTTACATCGTAATATCCCAGTATTCCTTTCATTGATTTTTATAATTTGATCCCTATATAACTGGGTGTTTCCATGACATTAATATTCGGAGCCGCTTGACCAGCAGGTAGATGTTGAAGGGAAAGTTCATTCTCGGCAGATCAGTTAAGACGAGAGCACTTTCGCCTCAAGTCATATTCTGGGAAAATTAACCCCAAATCGAAATTGTGATCGGTTTTTCCTTATATTTTATCATTATATTTTTTTATTTTCGCAGTTAGTGTAGAATGCTCTTACTCCAGTTGATGTTAATAATTTAAAAAAATTAAGTCATTAAAGAAGCTCTTTTCAGTGTTTCTAGAAAAAAAACTTTGAATTGCAGTCCCTTTCGACAAATTCTAAGTCCAGTCCCAAAATTCTCATTGTCTAATTATTCTTGTTTAAGAGCAAAATTCACCTTTTGTTTCAAAAAATGGTTTATTTATAGGGTGTCTTTGTCCGAAGTTAAGATTCTAGGTTAAAATGGCGATAAGACCAAATTGACAAACACAAATTAAATTTATTCAAGAAGACGATTAATGCCGATATGGTCAGTATGAATAACAAAGCCAATTGCTCAACAATTTTGTCCTACTTTTTTTCGAATGAAATCTACCACTTTGTTGGAATGCGTAATCCAAGGTTTTATGAGTTCAGAGCGGTATCATATAGATATAGCCATTAAGGTGCCGTTAATTGACCAATACCCATGCGGGGTTGCTCACCCCAAGGTGGGGGAAATAGAGTAAGCATTTAATCGAAAAGACGCGAGTTGGTTAAAGGGGAAATAATGTTAATTGAATGCTGAGGCTACTTCTTTCTCCGACATGAGCATGAGCATGAAGAGCATTGTGATCGAATTACTCTCCTCCATTCACTTAATTTTATGCAAATTCCACCTCAAGATCGAGTTTCAGCTTAAATGACGGAACGAATATCTATTTATGAATGTATAATTGGTGAAAGAAAACTCTATTCACCGTCATTGTTACCTTCTAAGGAAGGAAGACAATAATAGCAAACGCGTTTATTGCGCAAGTGGGACTATTTAGCGGAGAGTTTTACTTCTGCTCGACAACTTGTCGATCACATAAAAGTGAGGAAAGAGTTCTTCTCTATAGGATATTATGCTATTCTATGTGGTTATAAGCTAAAATCTCCTGTTTATATTTGTTTTTTTTCCACTCAGGTCCGGTGGCGGCGGGCATGGTGAATCGGTTCGGATGTCGAGCAGTGGGAATGTTCGGAGCTGTTCTTGCAACAGTCTCAGTGTTTATCAGTGCTTTCATGCCAAACATTGAATGCATGATTGTCTCCTACGGCATCTTTGCTGGTATGATTTCGTGTATTATTTGTGCCATATATATGCAAGTGGTATTATGGCCCTTTGCTAAGGGTAAAGAAAGTATCTTAGGAGTTCTATGGGGGGAAGAAATAGTCATGATGCCGTTTCTATTTCCTCCTGTTTTGGTTTTTTTGCAACGTGTTCGGGTATGTTCATCTACGCATGTTTATTTCACTTAATGTCCTTTGAGGTGATTCGGTCACCTGACAGAATCCTCTGGGTAGTGTTCTTATTTTTGAAACCTGACTTTGTCTCATTATTGACTCCGTTTGTACTTATATGCCACATAAATCTGCAGGAATTCAAGCGGAATCCTACTAATTAGTTTTACTTAGAAGACGCGACTCGAAAAGGCGTTATCCGATTGGTCAAAATTATTATAATGACTCATACAGAGTGTAGACAAAGATTCTCACCAAGAGATGACGAATTGAATAAACGTCGTTCACATAACTTGCCTCGGTAAAACGGTTGGCTAAGTCTTTCGTCTAAATCAACAGTACCCACCTATGTCCTAACTACCGACTACCCATAGCGATTTTTCGGTCAATCAGCTTAGAGCGATGTGATTTTCGTAGATTCGTCATGTCGAGATTTGAAGGGCCAATTTATAAGGCTTGGACTCTGGAAAATCAGGTCTTCTAACAGTGGACTAAACCTCCAATCTATTGCGTATCAACTGTCAGTTCGAAACAATCACCTAGTAGTTCTAACAGTAGCCGCAACTACTCCATTATTAAAGACGAAGTAATCTCTGGATTTAAAAGTTATAATTCTAAAATTTGAAAACTTCCACGCCCTTGGTAGTGTCGCATTTCTTGTCACTGATCGCCAAATTCACATTCAAGCATTCAAGCCCATTTCCATCAGGCTAGGTACGTTTAAAATTATTAGTGGCAATATATTTATGGGAATTATTGGCTATTATGTGCACCAACGGATCGCTCCTCCAGCTTTTTTGAGGAGAAGGTCTTTTATATGCACCTGGTTGCTACGAGGACTCGAAAGTCTGTTTCCTGAGTTCTTCAGGATACAAGGGTTCAGTGGGCAGACCTTATGATAGTGTTCATTAGCCCTTTTGTTGACTTTGGGTTGCTGGGGAGAGGAACTTCAAAGCCGCAAAAAGTCGAGAGGGGGTACAGAAGAGTAATTCACCAATGCAATATAGACACAAAGGTAGAGAGTAGGGCAAGGTGAGTACTGTGAAAGTGGTCGAATATGACCTACAGTCGGGTCATGGTAGTTTGAAGAAAGAAATCAACTGCCAGAATGTAGGCCTTTCGTAGTATGAGTTTACGTTGCTCACACGCTGTGGGCCATTTCTAATATGTAGGTAATTTATGTTATACTGCAGTAGTTTCAAATGTGCGGAATTTCTACTAAGTATGGTCTATTTTTACCAGATTTCCAAGAAGTCATTTTAGTCACTGTGTTGCCGGGCCAATACTGTGTTCGTCTCAATTATTAGTAGAAGTATCTACATGGAATATTTGAAGTAAAAGTGGCTGTCTGGGTTAGAATCTTTAGAAGTCATGAATTTCACGCAGCAATATACACTATCTCAGCAAATGTGGTTAGTACTTCCTGTATCGTATGGTCATTGGTTATGAAGGACTGTTTTTTTCAAATTAATTTTAAAATAACTTTCTTTCTTTGCTGGATTGTTTCTGGTCTGGCCATGGCAATACGCATTCCTTGGGATAAGTAGTCGAATTCGGGGAGAACTTTGTTTAGTTGACTTTTGAAAATTCGTAATTAATTTTATAGATATTTAGAAGGTAGAGAATTCATAATATGGAAAGTGCTTGTTTTAATTTTTGTTTTTGTACAAATAACTTCTAGCAAAAGTACAAAAGACTAAAAAGTTCATGAGCTTTATGATATTTAAATATGAATAATGCCCAACTTCTTACAAACCATTTTCATGTATATTGTTTTAATTTCTGATTGATTCTTTGTGTCGTTATTGTTAAGATTTATAACTTATAACTTCAACTTCAAAACCTGGGGTGTGCGATAGACTTACCTCTACGTGGTGCACCCTGGGCAACGTATACTCATACGGCAAAAAAGTCTATTAACCGGCATTTGACTTTTGACTTCAAACTACCACGACCCCCCCCCCCTGGTTGTCATATTCGACCCCATTCACAGTACTCATCTTACCTTTTTCTCTGCCTTTGTGTCTGTCTGCCTCTTTTATATCTGTTAATCGCTCTTCTGTTCCCCACCCCTCAACTTTCTACTACTTTGATGTTCCTCCCTCTGTGAAGCCCGAAGTCAGCTAAATGGCTAATGTTAGCTATCAAAACGCCTG